GATGCTGCTTGGCCTGCTGTATTCATCCAGCTCTACACCTTGTTATCTCAGATTCTCCAGCATCTGCAGTTCCTACTATCTCTATTTCCTGTCCCTGTGCCCCGCAGCCGATTCTATTTCCTGTCCCTGTGCCCCGCAGCCGATTCTATTTCCTGTCCCTGTGCCCCGCAGAGTCTCGTTGTGGCGTAGCGCTGACTTGACTTTTGAGAACCGAGTGTTGTCAGGAGCTACAGCGGCGGGCGACGTTTAACTTCGAACCGATCACGCTGCTCCCCGTCCCTCCGAGGAAAATGCTCTCTCTGTGACCGGCGTCGTTGACGGGGGAAGCTGAAGCGGAGTGTGATCCTCGAGAAAGCGCAGGCTCCGCCGATGTGTCGCTGGCGGTTGTGGGTGTTGGCGGCGCTGATGCCGCTGGCGGCCGCGATGCTTCCCAGGGCCGCCCGAAGCCCCGGCCCCGACTCCGACTCGTCTGCCTCCTTCAACCAGAGCGCCTCGTCCGTGCCCCTTAATAACGGCACCGCCAGTACGGGCACCGCCATGGACAGTATGGTCCCCATCCTGCGCCACTTCTTCACCGTCAGGAACCTGGTGTTGGCAGCCTCTGGCGGGGCCTTCCTCCTCATCGTGTGCCTCCTCGCCCGGGCCATCAGGTACAGAACAGGGGCTTTGTGCGGGGATTTAAACACGACTTCCCTAGACTGGAGACATGGGTGACCAACTCTTCCCAATTCGCTCTTGTGTTGGGGAGATTGCTTGTCACATCATAATTAGGGAAAAAAATAATTCAGTCAGTGTTTGATTAAGGGAAGTTGACGCGCATTTGTGAAGGGCAATTATAAACAAAATACTAGGGCTCTTGTGGTGCAGTAGTAGTGCCCTAATCTCTGGGCCGAGAGGTCCAGGTTCAAGTCCCACCCGATCTATCTAGAAGCGTGTAATAGTATCACTGAACTGGTTGATTAGAAAATATTAAAAATAACAGGGCTCCTGTAGTGCTGTGGTAGTGTCCCTAACTCTGAACGAGGAAACCTGGGTACAAGTCCCACTTGTTATTGCTCATCTCTGAGCAGGTTGATTAGAAAATATGAAAACAACATACTGTAGATGCTGGAAATCTGAAATGATGACAGAAAGAGCTCCATGCTGCTGGACTTGCTGAGTTTCTCCAGTTCTTTGTTTTTACATATTTTAATCCTCCTGTTCAGATATGTTACACCTCTAAGGCAGGTGGGACTCTAACCTGGGCTTTCTGGTTCAAAGATAGTGATGTTACGACTGTGCCATGAGCACTTCACCCTCTTTTTATTTGTTAATGGCAAATTGTGCTCAGCAAGCCTACTTTAGTTTTTTTTAGGTGAAGAGGAGTGCAGGGACTTGGCTGCATCTGTGCAAAAGTAATTGAAAGTTATAAGACAGGTTGAGAGAGCAGTTGGGTAAGAAAGCATATAGCATCCTAGCCAGGATCATTAGACATGTAATACAAAAATAAGGAAGTTTTTTATTAACATAGTAGCTTCACCTCAACAACAGTATTATGTCCCATTCTGGGCACAATTATATTGAAAGGATTTGAAAGCATTGGAGAGTTGTAGAAAAGGATAGTTGCATCAATAAAATGAGGGACTTGGATAGATTGGACAAGTTAGAGCTTTTTGCCATGCTGAAGATTGAGAGGAGATTTGAAAGAGGCGTTCAAAATCATGAACAAAAACAAATTGCTGCAAAAACTCAGTAGGTCTGGCAGTATCTGTGGAGAGAAAGCAGAGTTAGTGTTTTGGGTCCAGTGACCCTTCTTCAGAACTGCCTCTGTTTCCGAACAAGGGTCACTGGACCCGAAACACTAACTCTGCTTTCTGTCCGCAAATGCTGCTAGACCTGCTGAGTTTTCCCAACTATTTCTGTTTTTTTTTCTCTTTCCCAAATCTGCAGTTTCTTTTGTTTGTTTTCTCCAAATCATGAGGTATCTGGGCAGAGTAACCGTTGCCACTCGTAAAGGGATCGAGAATGAGACAACACAGATTTCAAGTAACTGGCATTTTTTTAATGCCAATGTGACAAAAACATGTTCATAGAGTGAGTATCTAGGATCTGGAATTCGTTGCTTAAGAATATGGTGGAGAAAGGTACAATTGTAGTAGTAACTTCATTCACTATTTGAAAAGGAAGAATATGCAGAGTTATCGGGAAAAGGGTGGGGAGGTGGCACTAATCCAATTGCTCCTTCAGAGGGCCAATGCATGCATGATGGACTGAATCACTCCCTAATCTGTAATAGTTCTGTGATATCTTTTATTTATATGTGGTACATCTAGCTTTGTAGTGTTTATATATAGAAGCGTATGCACAGTTCATCACCACCATTTCAAAGGCACATAGGAATACAATAAATGCTGGCCCAGCCAGCCAATCCCACATCTCTGAATGTTTTTTTAAAAAACAACTTAAGTGGTGAAGAGTCAGTACAGATTTCAGGAGAAACGAGATTAAGGCAGAAAGGAGTATTTGGCTGCGGTGTGCAGATGCAGCTCATTGACCCAAATTGAAGTCCTGTGAAACATTTCTCTTTCAATTTTAAGTCTAACAACATTTATAAACAAAAATCACTATTTATAATTTCTCATTGTAATTGTACACTCCTGCAATTTCAATTTGATTGTAGCCAGTTATCATTATAAAAACAGGCCTCTCTGTTGAGGGATTAAAACAAGGTTCAACAGCAACTGTGCAGAGCGAGACAGAGGCTTAACATTTCTGGTCACTGACTTTTCAAAGGTGATTATTGACTAGAACTGTTCACTCTGTACTCTCACTGTGTAGGCATTACCAGACCTGGTGAGCATTTTCTGGTTTATTAGCAACTTTCAATGCCTGTGATTTGTTTTAAAGCAATCTGAGCAAAATGTGTACTAATGTATTTCGCTATCTGCTGTGATATTAGCATTGGGTTGGGACTAATTAAGTAGTTTTTGGGTTTAATAGATTAGTGTCCAGGTATAATTTCATCTGTTCTGAGGAAGGGTCACCGGACCTGAAACATTAACTCTGTTTTTGCCTTCACGGAAGCTGCCAGACCTGCTGAGCTTTTCCAGCAACTTTGTTTTTGTTGTGTATAATTTCATCAGCCTGGGCAAATTTAATTAATGCTTTATTGTAAAGTCCTGCTTTCTGTTCTTATTTTAGGTTTTATTATAGTCTTGTGTTGACATTTGTAATGGAAATTGTCTTTATAAACTTGACATGTTGCAGTTACATGAGGTTTGAAATGGTATGTCAACACCTTTGCCAGACAGATGTAATTGATGAGTTGGGTAAAAGACTTAATGATGGAAAAAGTGACAGGTATAGCCAATAGATGTCTGATGTGTAATGTTGTAAGCTTAACTTGATGTGCATTCATGTTGGCTGTTCAGTAGGTCAGGTTCTTTGCAATGCAAACTGTAATAAACACTACTGAAAGAGTTGGGCAAGCTAGCAATTCTCAATCAAAACTGACTACCTGATAATACATTCAGAACTTTTTGAAGTGGAATTGAGAAATTGTTGTATTTGTAAATTAGTTGACTGAGAGAGGATTTAGAGGTTGGATGCTGAATTATAAATTTGCTTTTCAACCTGGGCTGATCTTGGGCTGGGTGAAGTTTGATTCATCTACTTCTCTTGTCTTCGTCCTTCTTGCCTCTGTTTTCACTCCTATGGGCTGATACTATGTGGCGCTTCTGAATTTTTTGCTCCTCATTCTACCTTGCCCCAAACTCACCAGCTAAGCAATGACTCCATCTTGCACTCTATTTTCTGAAATTGAGATTGTGATGCTGCCTATAGGGTAACATTTTCACAGGATTTGGTAATTGGAAATTACATCACTCTTAATTCTTTCTTTCTGTTCTTTATTAATCTTGGTAGTCTCTTCTGTATTAGATAAAAAATGGTGAGTGCACGCTAATGGTTTACTAGTTGATTTTGCCATGGAGACGTGACATGACCGTTTGAGGCATTCTGTAAGCTTTCATTATTTAGGGAAAGTGGTTAGTTTTTGTTTCCCTCAACAAGAAGGAATGCTTGCCCAATTATTCTTCCCCACGTCTCAACAACTGACCTGTGGGACAAATAAATACCAGAAAAATAAGAGCTTCAGTTCTACTTTCTCTCTTGATTTATTCATCAAGGGAGCTAAGCGTGTCTGAGATCTTGAGAAATACTGGCAAATCTGTTGTGTTCCAGACTGCGCTAAAATGCCTGAAACTAAGTGTAGGCTCTTTCAGATTGCTGTAAAATTTGTGTGATTGATCTTGTGGGTTATAACTCAGCCATGGTAAACATACAGTTCAAGCACTTTTGCATTTTGCTTTTACAAGTTTTTGGAAAAAAAAATACTGGAAATACGCAGCAGATCAGGTAGCATCTGTGGTGAAAGAAAGAGCTAATATTTAAGTTGGTTGAGAGGGAAAAAAGGGTGTGCAGGGAGCGCGGGATATGGAAGGTGAGGCCACCAGAACTGAAGTGGCAGAGAAGCTGAGAGAATGAAGCAAAGCCCTTGCAAAAAGAATGGTGGGAGTCAGTGGCTCCTAGGAAATAGTGGCAAATGGTCTCCTTAGAAATAAAAGCAGGGAAGGGAACAGTCAGAGGAATCATATAAAGGTGAGTGAAGAGTGGGCATTTAAATCATAGTTGATATTTTTTCAGTTCAGCACCTATATAGTCATCAGAACAATTAAGGAAAGACATAAGGGAGGATCTCGGTAGGATTGGAACTGATATGGTCAAGATGGTTCCAAGAATTGGAGTTTTGTTTAATTCAAAGGAGACTTTAAAAGCAAAAATGTTTTTACTGGTGATAAGTCAACTTCAAGACCATGATCCAAATTGCAATGCATTTATACAAGTACAAATACAATGCAGGTACATCAATTGTTTTAACTCTGCATTTAGGAATGCATTGGCAGATATGGAGCGTTGATGGCCTAGTAGTATTATTGCTGGACTGTTAATCCAGAGACCCAGGTAATGTTCTGGGGACTTTGGTTAAATGATGAATCTAATGTCTAGTGATAACCATGAATTTGTTGCCAATTATCGGAAAAATCCATCTGTTCACTAATGCCCTTTAGGGAAAGAAACTGCCATCCTTACCTGGTCTAGTCTACATGTGACTCCAGATCCGCTGAAATGTGATTGACTCTGAACTGCCCTCTGAGCAATAAAAGCTGGCCTAACCAGTGATGCTCTCATCCCATGAACAAATCAACTTCATGTTTTTTTTTAATGAGCTTCAAGTCAGACTGGAGATCAGAAGCATTCTTCTGTCTCAATAATTAAGTCTAGTAGGTCAATGTGACTCCTTTTAGGGGGGGAAAAAGGTTTCCCCTAACATGGGGTTGAAAATTTAAAGGAGACTGTGGATCCAATGTTATTGCAACAGTATAGTACTTGTTTAGTTCTGAGAGAATCCTTGAACATTTAAAGTGCAACTAATCATATACTTTTTGGAAATCTGAGAGAAAGTTATTATACTTTGGAGTGCTCCTGTGCTGTTTTATAGCCCTTGGTTTGTCAACAGATTATCGGTAATGTAAATTGCCTTTGGCTTTCGTGGAATGTGCTACTAAGGTTTTTGACTTGCTTGCCGAGCTGGCTTGTTCTTGTTCAAACATTTCGTCACCATGCTAGGTGACATCAGTGGAGCCTCCGATGAAGCAATGTTCCTCTACTCCGCTTGGAATTTATACTGTTTACTCCATTATGGGGAGTAGTGTCCATAACGGACCAGACAGTATAAATTTCAAGCAGAGTAGAACAACATCGCTTCATCGGAGGCCCCACTGATGATGTCACCTAGCATGGTGACGGAACGTCTGAATGAGAACAAGCCAGCTCAGCAAGCAAGTCAAAAACCCAAGCTACAGATCTTTGCCAAAACTTTGAATGTGCTACTAAGTGGGCCAAGCAACTTGTATTTTTCTTTTGACCGTTTCTGTTTACACCCTCTTGAGTTTCTCTGGGTTTATTTGAAGAGATCATTACCAAACAAGAAGTAATTTATCTATAGCCAGTTTTATTTTTGAGTGGTGTCACAATTAACATCGAGACTTTGTACATGACTGAGGCTCGGTGCGAGATAGATGTATTGTTTCGTGTCAGCTCCCATTGTCATATAGTGCCACTTTGTAAACAGCTGTAAAGGGGCTGTTTCTATAGAGAATTCCTGTAGGCTTAATATTCGATTGCCAGAACTTTATCATACTTCAAAATTGTGATCCTTTCCTCAGTTGCAATGGAAACAGCACTGACAATCGCATTTTTCTTGGAATTTGTCCTTAGGTCTGGAAGAAAAATCAAAAAGACAAGAAAATATGATATCATTACAACTCCAGCAGAAAAGGTGGAAATGACACCACTCAATGAAGATGATGACGACGATGAAGATGCAACAGTGTTTGATGTAAAATACAGCAGGTATTCATGAAATCTTTCAGATTCCCTAAACCTGTGGCACTGGTGTTTTATAGTACAGCAAACCTTTTATTAATCAACACTTATGGAACCAGGAGTGTGCTGGTTGATCAAATCTTCGGGCTAATGAAGAGGTCCACATAATCAATGTAATAACATACATTAAGTAATAGAAACATGTGCAGAGGGTATACATAAAAAATGTTCTGTTTTATTTACGGCATAAAACACTTTTCAAAAAAAAGTCCAATTTTGCTTTAAATAAAACAGCAGCAGACACCCATCTCACTCGCACCCTCAACTGACTATTCGGATGTTGCAGTAGATCGTGGTATTTGCAGAGAAATTGACTTGAAATTGAATCAACTGTTGATACTTTGGGTGGTCATTCAAATGAACAACACATGTTTACATTGGGGCAAATTTGAACACAAAGAATAATTGGACAGAATTATAAAGTAAACTTCACAGCATTTGAGGTTTATAATTTTTGCCAGGTTATCGAGAGTGCTGGTTCATAAAATGCCAGTTAAAACAGTTTGCTGTACCATGATTTGAATATTTAAAGTACTCGCACAGCAATGTAGTTGACTGTTCAATGACCTCTTAAGTGGTGTGGCAAACCACTCAGCCCAATTGCAATTGAAGATGGGCATAAATGCTGGCCTAGCCAGTGACACCTACATGCAATGGAAAAAAAGTGGGAATTCTATCAATAATCCACTTTCTATATTGAGACAGACTGCAATATCTCTACAGTTTACCCAGCTGAGATAGTTGACTCTTCAGGGATCAAATCTGCGATCTCCAGTTTTGTATATTTGTACCTTTTACTAACTCGGCCGTTAGGAGGCTATCTTAGGCATATTAAATTTTTGATTATTTATCAGAAGCCAAAGTTCCAAATGTTGACATTTAGCAGTCCTTATGCTGGTTTTTTATGGGAAAAGGCGTAGGTATTAAAATAGCAGCGATAACTTGCATTTATAGACCCCTCTTTAAGGTAGTGAAATGACCCAAGGCACGTCACTGGAATGTTTTCAAGAACGTTGGAACACCGCATAAATTTTCCTATGCTGCACCAAAAAGGTTTTCCTGTAAGCCAGTGAGCACCTCCAGCAATGTTGTTGATGAAACATGTCAATTATAAGGGCATAGGACTTGAGAGATAATAAGTCATCCAACCATTTGAGCCTGCTCCACCATTCGCCCTCCCCCCGAGGAGAAAAAAAAACCTGGTTGTAACTAATCTGGAGTCTCGAAGTCCTGTCTAAAACTCTGCCGTGAATAAATTTAATAACAGTTTCAGTGCTCCCTGGGGAAGAGAATACCACATAATAACCACTCTGAGATGCAAAAGTTCTCATCTCCATCTTAAAAGCGAGACAGGCCCCTTATTGTCAAACTGTATCCCTAGCCGCCTCAAGAGGAAACCTCCTCACAGAATCTTCCCCATTAAGCCCCTTGGGTTTTTGTTGGTGTCACTAAGACCTTCTAAACTCCAATGGGTATAGGCCCAACCTATTTAATCTTTCTTCATAAAATAAACCCTTTGTCCCTGGAATGTGTTTCACCTTTGAATTTTCTCAACTCCTTCTAATGCAATTGTATCTTTTAACAATTAAGATCAAAGTGGTACGCATTATTTCAGATGTAATCTCTTTGTAGATACAGTCCCTTCCCTTAACTTATTTTCCTGTTCATCTTGGCATCATCAGCAAATGTAGCTATCGCACAGTCCTGTAATCCAAGTCATCGATTATAGGTTAGCCAGCTTAGCCATGGTAAGCATTCATGGTCAAGGAGGGCTGTCCAATCACTTTGAATAAAAGCAAAAGAACTGTGTATTAATTCAGATTTTGACTATGGATCTGTATTCCATATTTCACCTCTGATGATTAACCTTTCGCTTAGCCAGGGTGACAGACTTTGGTGAAATTAGTGATGAGGGTCACAGATAAAGCATGTGGTGATGCCTGTAACTTTGGACTGAAAGCAGTGATGTTGTGAGCTCCAGTCTTTTCTATTTTATCTATTAAATGGGAAATGTACTGATGTGGCATAATATTTATTTAAATGCTTTCACATAATTCTAAACAACACTTATTTATCTCTTGGAACTTAAACATAGAAATGTCTTTCAGTCTTTGGAATGTTGATGGGGCACAGATTAGTGTCTAATGAACCATATTTGAGGCATTACTTAACAAAAAAATTCCGCTGGTTATTTCGACAATAAATTCTTTAATGAGTTTCAGATTTCAATGTGGAGAAGCAGCATGTCAGTAATATGATGCCATTTGTGATGATATTTAATGGATAATAGCAGTTAGCTGATAACATGGTGAAAATCTGCCTTATGGACTTCTTAATTTGTATGTTGAAGCTATTAACTGCAACTTCTGACATACTAATTACACTTGTTATGGCTGCTAATTTCATAGTCAATGACCGTTCAAAAACCAGCTGCTGTAAGTTTTCTAACTATTTTTTGTTGGGGCATTTATGTCTTTTGCATAATTTTCATGTAAACTTACAAATAACCTTTTTTGTTTCAGCATTTATGAATGGAAAATAATTTCTTTAGCAAACAAAATACGCTTGGGTTAGTTGCAGTGCCACTCTGTAGCTGACACTTTGCCACCTACACAGATACATATTCCAGCTCATGCTTTATCCCATAGCATTCATGTTGACAGTTGGACGCTCCATAATCAGACAAAAACTCTTATGACCTAAAATGTCTTTATTCTCTGGCAAGTAGATTAATCCCGAAGTTGCGGTGAAAACCTACTGGAAAACCCATCATGGTGTAGAGCTGGATGAACACAGCAGGCCAAGCAGCATCAGAGGAGCAAGAAGGCTGATGTTTTGGGCCTAGACCATTCTTCAGAATTCTTCAGTCTAGGCCGAAACGTCAGCCTTTCTGCTCCTGCGATGCTGCTTGGCCTGCTGTGTTCATCCAGCTCTACACCTTGTTATCTCAGATTCTCCAGCATCTGCGGTTCCTACTATCTCGGAAAACCCATCATGTTCTTCAATTTTAGAAGCTTAAAAGAAATGCCAGCAAGCAACAGGATCAGAACAAGATTATTCGAGCAATTTTTCTCTCGAAGCTATGAAAGCAATGTATAAATGCAAAAATATGTTCCAAAGTACCTATTTAATATAATAACCAAAACCTGAGTGTGATAGATTATAGCAACAATGTTAGTCCAGTAAAATTTCACCATTTTCATGAACAGCACAAGTTGGGAGTGTACTTCTTGGGACTAGCTGGCAGGTCCTGGATTTGTTTCTCCGAAGCATGTCGTTAACAAAATAGACACAAAAAAACCTAACCAATATTTTGACTTTTGGAAGACGTGAAAGTAACAACACACTTTAGAGTTATGAAGACTCATACCAGGAAGTATGTATCGATACAGCATGAGCAAACAGTTGGAAGGCTTGGTACGAAGGATGATGACTGCGGGACATGAGACTTATTTTAGAAGAACTACGGCTATAATAGAAAAGCAGAATCTGATAAAGGAAACTCATTTCATGCTGTTACTGTATGTCAGGGGAGTAGTGAATTCAGTAAATATTTGGTAACTCTTTATCCCACCCAATGATTCAAACAGTGGTGCAAAAGCACAGCTCCAGCAGTTTATATTGGACTCCATAGCTTGGATGATGGTTTTACACACATTCCCAATTATTTATAATTCTATGTTGTTATAGGAAATCATCCTTTCTAGGAAGTGGTATTTCCTCCACTTGATTAGCTCTCTGCAATGCCTTTCCATGGAGCACTAAATAAAGGAGTTTTTTGTGGATTTTCATATCCTCTGAAAGTGAGGCACTTTCAGAGCCTTTGTCACAAAGATTGACAACATTTTGATATCAGGCAAAAACACAGCCTTCCGCTGGAAAGGAATCCATTTTGCATTATACAGAAAAATCTATGATTGTTAATTTTGATATCCTCCTCTGCAGTTGTAGTCAAAATGTCATCTGTCAGCTTTTGCAGTAAAAGGTAGGCAATGAGATGAAAACTGCTAAAAGCATTGATAATAGTGGATCTGTTGATTGGACATAAGCATTAAAAGGAGGTAAAAGATGGCGTGAGGGGGATAGTGCTTGTTTTTAAACATTCAGTGCTCTGTAGTGAGGACAAAAAGGAACAATGCAGGAAAGAATGGGTTGTAGGAAATTGTTGAGAGAGGCTTAATTCAGGGGTGTCACTAATTGTTAATGTAATATATGTAAAATGAAAGTCATTTTTGCAATCAGTTAGACTAAAGATATCTGAAAACTAGAGGGCATGTATCTGCGTTGCCTGTTCCCAACTTACTTCATAAAGCTAGCCTTTTGTTCAAGAATAAGATTATGCAAATTGAAATCATGTTCATTACAAAAATAGAAGCAGCCCTGTAATATAGCACCTGGAGTGAGTCTCTTAATCTCTGTCTGTCATTTAATTAGATCTTTTGCTGATCTGCACTTCAACTCTAATTACCTATTGTTACCCCATATCCCTTAATACCTTTGCACAGTGAACAGAAACAAGCAAAGTTTGCTAATAGAGATAGTAGGAACTGCAGATGCTGGAGAATCCGAGACAACAAGGTGCAGGGCTGGATGAACACAGCAGGCCAAGCAGCATCATAGGAGCAGAGAGGCTGACGTTTAATAGGTCATCTCTGATACCAGCAATACTAATCACTTGACCAATGAAAAAGCTGTGTTCAGACCACAAAGGGATGCTACTCCTGAGAAAGCTGGGTATGTTGTATTGTATTAAGTGTACCAAATCCTCCTGAAATAATGATTATATTAACCATAAAATCTATTCGGTTACAAATATTTGCAAATTCCTCTTTCTTCCAAGATTTAAATAAGGTTTCGATTAAAGGCTCTTTCTGAAGCAGTTTTCATTCTGATGCCAGCTTTGTTTAGTTTCCTTTATTGTTTCTTCAGAACATTGGCTGGTTAGCAACAGGGCATTGCCAAACCTT